GTGCGTGCGTGCGTGCGTGCGTGCGTGCGTGCGTGTGCGTGCGTGCGTGCGTGCGTGCGTGTGTGTGTGTGTGTGTAAAAATATCGAAGCGCGTTCAAATCTACAAATTGCACATTTCCGTCAGTCCTTTTAATACAAGGTGGGTGGTGATCAGTGCAATTTGCCCCGGTATAGATCAAGGATTTATGAATTCAAAAGGAATCTATTTCTGAAGCTGGTATAGCTTCATCTTGACGATTCTTTTGAGTTCATGAAAAGCATCTCTGTTTCTTCATCCATTACTATTCTACAGTCATATACTAGTATCATTTGCCTTTCTGATGACGCTAAATAAGCATGTATGTGGGAGTTGGTAGGAAGGCACTTATTTCGTCCCTTTCTCCTCTATAGATATTGGCACGACTGCCAAAGCGCTGTGCCTTTGTGAACGGCAAAGCTGTTAACTTCTCAAATTGCAAACTTGGTTGGTGTACTCAGAAATGATGAGCCAACCCACGTGTGTGGGCGAGAATGAAAACCCGGCAAAAGTCATTTTGGCGACGTCTCAGGGAGGAGCCTAATGGTACAGTATTGTGTGCAGTTTGCAAGAAGGAATGGTACAGGCATTTTGTCCACAGGCATGCGGAATGCCCACGGGCATTTCTCTGACCCACATCTATGCCCACATTCCTGGAACCCTTGAGAAGACCTGTCTGCCCCAGATGGCCCTACTTTCTGTGACCCCGGGGCTCGTTCACTATACACTCAGGGGAGGAATACACTGTATCTATCTAGACTTAACAGATACGAAGCCTTCCTCAAAATCATGAAATGATGGCAGTGCCATGCAAACAATAACCCTAACAGCAACCACCGTCGCCATGGCAATGTATGTTTTCATTGCCAGTCTTGTTTATGATTGATACCACAGTAGCACAAAGAAAACTATAGATAATACACAACGTTGCAAATTGACAGCTTCTACCGACAGCATTTTCTCCAGGTGCATGTGGACTGCCACAATTTATTCCGAAGTACATGTAGATGGGAGATGATGAGTGAGTGCGGCCCGCATCTGGGCGGTATGGAGGCGGGAGGATGGAGTCAGCACACCGCCCTCGTGCTGATTGCCGGAGGATGGTTCTGAGTATGGAGTCGAATCTCGATAAGGCCACATCAAGTGATTTTTATGGATGACGTCCTCTGGAGACGCTAAATCTAATGCGAGAGCACGAAAAAAATAAAAAGAAGAAGGACCGAAAAAGGCAAGATGCCTAGATTTGAAATATACTAAGGGACGGCAAATGTTAGGACACACTTTTATTCAAGATTCGTGCGAAATTTCCTGGGCATTCGTGGGCGTTCGCTAAAAAGAGAAACCGATAATTCAGTGGAATAGCAGTTGTCGTCCTGCCCTGTTTCTTTCCTTTAATCACACCTTCCCTTATCCCACTGTCGTGAGTCTTAAGTTACAAGAAGCGGAATTTTTGTTCTCGGAACAGGCCACAATCAATGCGCGCGCGGACGCCATCCATAGAAATTACTTGGTGTGGCGTATCGAAAAAGAGTATGTGTTCTGAGAGCATATCAGCTAAGACAAAAATGACTCACTTAGCTATAGATAGGCACAAAGTTTCGACTACTAGGCAAGTCATATGTAGCGTAGGAGAACGGTTGTTTGCACGATGTATCAAACGAAATATCCTTGCCTTCTTGTTACTTTTCATATGCCTGTTTGTTACTTTGTCACGACGGCCGCTGATTCAGATCTCAAGGACGAACAGCAATACAATCTTCAAGGAGATTTCGTTTGAAGGATGAATAACACAAGCTCGGCGCCGCTGGCCATGAAGAGAATTCATTTCTGAAGAATATAACATTTCTATTCTGAGACATATCGCATAGCATCAAAAGGACGCCGACGGACAGATATCGTCATACATAGTTAGCGGGGAGAATAATGTGTAGAAGACTAGACGCTTTGTGTGTTCCGACATCACTGAATCCACAGTTTGCCGGAAGACACGGCGAGCTTTTAAAGCCCTGGATCATTTTCCGAAATCTATAGCAACACTACTATATACTAGAATACGGACTACTGCTCAACAATGGCCTCAAGCTTGGACTATTTTAAAAATTATCACGGACACTGAAAATGAATATTTTTGTACTGCAGTGAAAATTAACTCACCATGACTTGTCTTGGGTTGTTAAAAGATTTATTATCACGCCGCCTTTAATAAATTAATAAAGCAAAGTTGACTTGAAGAAGACAGATACGTTTGATTCATTAGCATAGTAATTTATTTCCTAAGTGTAAAAGTGAATGCAACTCAAGCGACATTTCTTTTGAATCATGGTAATGAAAAATAAAGCTGTTGTAAATTTGGAGAATTTATGGTGCCATTAAGTCTTCATGTAAATATTCTAAAACGTTTTCTTTTGAACCTCCTTGGTCTTTTTTAATGGCCAGCGTTTTTGTCTGTGTTTTTTGGACTGGGTATATTTTGTTTGCTGAGTATATGTTTGTTTGATTATTTTTATTTGTAGCTCATTGCTAAGCTATGATTATATTTTAGAGCGAATTGAATCATTGAATGCACATATTTGTTCCTATGGTGTTGTATAGAAGAACTTTATTGCGCAACAGATGTAGCGGGTACAACGTATGGCAAATTACATAGTTACATACACATGTAGTTGGTGATGCTAACATGCATACATAGTTGATGCAAAAAATATCTAACAGTTCTACTAACTGTACTAAGAATCTTGTCTACTTTCATAAACAATCTATAACAATAAAGAGACACTAATTATATCAATCTAACTCTATTGATGGTAACGCTGTTACATGTAATATATTGTGTCAGGAATTTATTACATTTCCTCGTTGTGTCTGTTTGTCAGCGAATTGTGTATAAATTGGCCTACATAATTGGATATATTAACAGGACATGATAGCATATTAGATATCTTTGTATCGGATATCTTCATACCGTTTGCAATATCATTTTTTTCAGTGCTCTTTGGGAGTGACCCTTGACCTGTCAAGCCCTGCGCAGGCGCAATAGGATATCGCGGAAGAATTCCAGGAGTCCGTAGAAACAGACGTAAACATTGGTCCTTTTTGGTGAAATACGTCAAATTACGGGCCTGGTGTGACTCTAATACACGTCAGGTGAGGTTCTGATGGCATGTTGAGCTCTGAAATGTTGTAAAGCAAAACGTTTTGAGCAGGAAATCAGCTCAAAACGCGCAGAGAATTAGCAACTGGTGGGAAGGGGAGGGGGGCGGAATCATGCTGGGCAAGCTTAGTGGGACGTTGGTACTGTGAATCATGTAACTGGTAGAATTGCACGTCACCGGGTTGTACAAGGGGTTGATAAGTAAGGAACTGGTTGGTTTCAGCTTCTGGGCAAAAGCAACGATTATCCACAAAGCAGGAGTAGGGAGAAGTAAACCCACCTTGATTAAAGTACATGCATCAAGGTATAACCAAGGAGGTTTGTTTGTTGGTTGGTTTGTTATGATTTAATGAGGATGGTCAAACTGTGCGGTCTATGTGCAAGTTTTACACTGGTGTTTTTAAGAGTGTTATATAATAGCATAGTGACATACAGGTGGGGGGCATTTACGCTACCTGGGTTTGAATACTAGTAGGTCAGGTCAGCATAAAAATATATGCATGAATTTGCATATCAATGATCAGAAGGTGTAGGTCTGAAATAGTAATATTCATGTTACGTCGGTGAAGGTTAGACATCCAGGTAATAAATAAGATCTTTTTTTGCATAATATAATGATACCACTACCAGTATCCATGATTTGGCCAAACACACCTAGTGACAGCCCCTTGAGCCCTACTACTAGTATTTTATAGGTTCTTTTACATGATGCACCAAGCACAATCTTTACAGTACAAAAAATAGGGATTAAGGCTGTGACAGCTCCTAGCCTTAGATTGATACTGAGCCCTAGTTTACCTTGTGGCACTATTGTATTTAGATGCAAAATTATTACTCCCTCATCACTTGTCCTTAACAAAAGTTGAACTTTCATTCAACTCCATACAATATACCATTGAAAGTCCCAGCAACAGAACATGTATTCATGTCAACCTACTGCCCCACTGACTACCCTGTTGACTTTCAGCCATGTCCCAGAGAAGTCGCAGAAGTAACTCAGTGTCCAGTCAGAAGTCGGACATATCAGAGCGGTCAGACCGGCGAGCAAAGAGCCCACGGAGCCCACGGTAAGTTCTTTTACAAGGTGACTTAAACCTACAAGTGTAGAGGCAAATTTTCAAAATTCCATTTATTGCATTCAGTGGTAGAAATCCTTGTTCCAGTGTGCTGCAATATTTCAGAATGTCAAAATTTTGTTCTGCAATTCAGAAGTACTTACTGCAAATATATGTCCAGATTTGCATGTACAAAATACACATACTTTTTTCCAGTGTGCTGCAATATTGCAGAATGTCAAAATTTTGTTCTGCAATTCAGAAGTACTTACTGCAAATACATGTCCGGATTTTCATGTACAAAATACACATACTTTTTTCAAGTGTGCTGCAATATTGCAGAATGTCAAAATTTTGTTCTGCAATGCAGAAATAATTTTACTGCAAGTATATGTCCGGATTTGTATGTACAAAATCATGTTGGCAAATACTTTACATGCATTTGAAAAATACATGCAAAATTACTTGACTGTACATATTACAGAGTCAGTAGTAAACACAGAAGCTCTTAAGGACCATTGAACCCCTTTGAACAGGTTGCTTCATTTTTCTTTTTCGAACTGCAGAACAAAATTTTGCCATTCTGAAATACTGCCGAACACTGAAAAAAAGGATTTCTACCACTAAAACTGTGTATTATGTACCAAAAGGTCTGATCGGAAGGATGGACCCTCAGAGCGTGAGTCGTCGGAGAGTTTCCATACCGAGTGCCGGGCGGGGTTTGTTGCCATAGTAGGGAACACCAAGGACCACATCAAGTCTCGTGACCAGTTACAACAAGGTAGGCACAGGTCTTCTGAGGCCTCACTTATTAACTATACAGATTCTTAAACCCTTGTCCTGCAGATAGATCTGTGCCCATATTTTTTTAATAATCATATATATGGGTTGTACATACAGTATCATCTATGTAGCTGCGCCAGTGCATATGTACAATTTGGGGGTGTTTCTCGTATAACGCATTTTTTCTAGTGAGTGGCACCATAGTTTATTTGGTCAATATCACAAGTATTTTGTGATTTTCAACTCCATCAATAGAATTAATCCCAAACTGTTATTACAAAACAATTTGAATTAATATTAATATTACACTATTGCCATAGTGGTAAATGTCTTGGTAATGAAGTTTAACAGTAGAAACTTGGATAAGTCTGATTTCCGTTTCAAGTTCATAAGAGTCCTTTTCATACACCTTGCTTTGCATCATAAATATAATCATGATAATGAAATATATTTGCAGGACATTATGCTTGTTGGGAAGTGCATCTTGTTGTTATTGGAATGGTTTGAAGTCTGTAGTAGCAGGTATTAAGAGAGCTTTAATTTGCACCTATAAATGTGGAAATATGACTGATCCTGGATCATTACGTTGGTGCTACATGTAGCACTTATTTCAAGCAGCTGTAAAAGCCCATATGACTAATGAGAAAGACTGTTAGAGATCTATGAGACTTGCCTTCCTAATGAAAACCCCATAACTGCCACACTTAATATGATGATTACTTATCATGACGCCACACTGATTGCTTGAGAATCAACTGAAGCTGGGCCATCATATGCTTTTATCATTATCATGCGATGTTGCAATTAATTTGGAATGTACTGATTAGTGATTAGAAAGTGCATGTAAGCCTACTCAAGTGGTATGGGACTGTACTGGTCACAACATAATTGCAGTTACATTTATATATAGCTCTGCAATCAAAGTTTCTCCTGTACATGTATGATCAAGAAAAGATTCTATTTCAGCGAGTAACCAATCATATTTATGATATAGATTGTAATTGCATATACTGATATAGGGCTAGCATAAGTAGGACTCTTCAGTTTGATAACATCTTATAATTTTGTTACTGTACGATTCACTCAGAGTACATGTAAAGGTTATGTCCCGAATTTACCGCAATGACCTGAGGCATTGAAAGGTACAGGAACTAACAATAACACAAATGTACATTTTGTACATGTATAGTAGTAGTGATTTAACATACATAGTGTTTTATACAACTTACATGTACAACTGACATGGAAAAAACTGAAATGTTGTCTAAATCAATGATATAAATTTTTTTTACATTTTTCTCAATGTAACAATATGCAATTAAATATGAAACTATGGTAGATCTCTGACCCTGTCAAACTTTACTTTATTTGAAATTGTAAAGTATAGAAAATATAGAAAAGACAAAAAAAATATTAATAAAAACAAAAATGTCATTATCTAGTTTGATCAAAAGGTATATAAACATTCACCATTTTACTCCAGGTCCTTTATGTAGTACATACATAATGTAAGATATTTCAGTTACACAATTGTAGGTGCATAATCATTACAACGGTTCCCCATGCAATCATAACATTTCATGTTTTAACAGTCTCACATTCATAAACCTCTGTCATTGCTATGCCCGAGTCATGGCTTGTGAGTCGTGCGATATCTTTCATGTCAATCAGCTCAGATGACTCTTTATCTGCCCCCCTCCCCACCCTGGGTAAGGCGTAGCACAGTTTGCTCCAGAACCAGGGATCTCCCCACTTCAGGTATGTGTTTG